AAATAAGAAAGAAAAACAAGACATTGCTCATTTTAATACAGAGAGCCCTTGATTTAAAACAGTTCGTTTAGTGACCATTCAAAGTTACAACGCACTCAAAATTCAGAATCAAAATTAACAACTATGGCAAGAAAGATCATAAATCAGGCAAAATTCGCTTAAGAAATATCTCACTTGGCAAGAGAAATGTTGGGCTTAATTGCGTGCAGAAACTGAATGATTACTCCCAAACAATTTGAGTTCAAGAAAAATCTCAGCCAGGTTGTATCAGACTAGAGAAAATGTTGCTGTTTCCAGCTTTAAAAATCATTAAAAGAAAGCCTGCTTTTCTTGAGGTGCTAATTAGGATTTAATCCACAAAATGGACAGCTCAGCTTTCAAATCAGACTGATTCATTTACTTAAAACTTGGAGGCTGAGGCATAAGAAGACAGTTTGTGTAATTGTAAAACATAATAACTTAGAAATAAGCTAAACAGAGCCAGCAATTCCAAACACTACTAAAAAAAAGAGGCCAGGATTTTGATAAATACATAATAAAACAATTCAAGAGACAGTCAACAACTTCATATGAAAGGGACAATCCATAGTAACGATGTTTAAAATCTGCTTTGGATTTTGTAATAGGTTAGCCTTCAAGTTTTAATGGAAAGGACTATCTATAACCCAAAAGCCATTATGAAGGAAATCCAGTCTCTCGTGTCCAATATCCAAATCAACCTTGCAAGTGCAAAATTACAGTTTGGAAAGCAACCATTTTGGCCTTCCATTTCAACCCACTGTACAGTGCCAGAATTGAAAGTAGGACACCACACAAAATACAATTTATACTTAGAAACATCTCAATATTTCATCAATAGGTCACACTCATAGGTAACTTTTAGAGTTAGGAACTTTCCTTGCAGACAACAGGAATCTGCCTTTTTTCTTTGATTCGAGATCCTAAAGTCTGGAATTATAGAGAACAAACTATGGTAGTCTTCTATGTGACCACTATTCCAGATGAAGATTGCTACCATAACTCTCTGCTTAATCTTCTCTTCTCAAAACAAAACATATCTAGTACTTCAAACCCCCCTTGAAGGATCCAATTCTCAGTTTCCTGACCATCCTTATCACTTTTATTTCCAATTGGTCAGAATTTTTCTTGAAGTTTGGGACCCATAACTAGACACAATATCCACAATATTCTGCAGAAGAGAGTAGCCATCTATACATTAGATCTTAATGTTCAGGTAACTTTGATGAGATTAAACAATGTATGCTACATCATTCAGAGCTCTCAATTGGGCATGGAACTATTGGGCATCTGCTACAGAAATATAGTCTGTATCTGACTTGCTTTCCCAACCGTGTGTTTTGCACCAAATGAAGTTTACAAACTACCTGCAAAAGAAAAGCTCTACATTACTAGTTGTTCTTGTTTCTTCCTTCTGTCTGAGAACACTATATACATTGCAAAAGCAAATGTTAATCTTATTAGACAATATGATGGTTCTAGCTGTGACCAAAATAGTAAAAGGTAGCAATTTAAAGATGCATTCAGTCCTGCTCAGCAGCTTCCAGGTTGGTTTTATTTATGATTCTAGTTTCTTTTTGAAAACCACATTCCTTCCTATAATATAAATTATAAATTATAAACCAGTGGTTCTCAACCTTTTTAATGCCGCGACCCCCCCAACCAGTCGTAAGTCAAGGACTACTCAACCGGTCGTAAGTCGAGGACTACTCAACTGGTGCAGCACTGTTTGCAGAATGGGACTTTTGGCGGGCTCAGCAGGGCAGAGACAGCCCGGACAATTCCTATTGGCTTTTGAAAGCCAATAGAATTAGACTCTAATCAAGAGAGTCTATTCTATTGGCTTTCAAGAGCCAATAGAATAAAAGGGAGTAGCACAGCTAAGGAAAAGGGGAAAAAAAATGGCGGACTGCGTTGTTTGGCGACCCCCGTGAAATGGTCGTTCGAGCCCAAATGGGGTCCTGACCCACAAGTTGAGAACCGCTGTTATAAACTATAAATTCAAGGCCACAAGGGGACAAAGAAGAAAATGAATGCAAAAGTCCATTTTATAATCACTGCTGCCATAGTACTGCCTTGAAATAGATCTTTTCTCTAAACTTTGTTTCTGGGATAGACAAAGCCACAAACTGACAGGGCATGCCAAAGGTGTTTTTTCAGGAGGCAACTGGACTTTCTTGTTCTTCTTTGAAGAAGTTTCGCTTTTCATCCAAGAAGTTTCTTCAGCTCTGACTGGCTGAAGAAGCTTCTTGGATGAGAAGCAAAATGTCTTCAAAGAAAAACAAGAAAGTCCAGTTGCCTCGTGAAAAAGCATCTTTGGGACAATCATGACCTGGATGACTGAGAATCTCCATAGACAAATTGGCAGGGCCTAACTTTTGGGGGAGAGTGACCTGTGGGAGTTTTTAAATTTTAATTTCAGTTGTTAAACTTGTTCACTGGAAAATTACACAATGCTTTTGTTGGCAAGCTTCAGCAGTTTCTACAGACCCTATAAAAAAAGAAATTCAGAAATAACTTTGTGCCCACAAATTGATCGAGCCTTGAGATGTGCAAATAGCAGGTCAAGAAAGATCCCTCTGATATGAAAAATGAATACAGATAGTCCTCAACTTACGACCACAATGGAGCCCAAAGATTCTGTTGCTAAGTGAAACATTTGTTAAGTGAGTTTTGCCCAATCTTACGACTTTTCTTGCCACAGTTGTTAAATCACTACAGTTGGTAAATTAGTAACATGGTTGTTAAGTGAAACTGTTTTCCCCATTGGCTTTGCTTGTCAGAAGGTCGCAAAAGGGGATCACATGACCCCGGGACTTTGCAACCGTCATAAATATGAGCCAGTTGCCAAGCATCTGAATTTTGATCATGTGACTATGGGGATGCTGCAGTGGTTGTAAGTGTGAAAAATGGTCCAAAATCCCTTTTTTCAGTGATGTCGTAACTTTAAATCAGTGGTGCTCAACCTTTTCAATGCCATGACCCCCAACCGGTCGTAAGTCGAGGATTACTCAACCAGTCGTAAGTCGAGGACTACTCAACTGGTGCAGCACTGTTTGCAGAATGGGACTTTTGGCGGGCTCAGCAGGGCAGAGACAGCCTGGACAATTCCTATTGGCTTTTGAAAGCCAATAGAATTAGACTCTATTCAAGAGAGTCTATTCTATTAGCTTTCAAAAGCCAATAGAATAAAAGGGAGTAGCACAGCTAAGGAAAAGGGGGAAAAAAAATGGCAGACTGCGTTGTTTGGCGACCCCCGTGAAATGGTCGTTCGACTCCAAATGGGGTCCTCACCCACAGGTTGAGAACCACTGCTTTAAATGGTCACTAAATGAACTGTTGTTAAGTTGAGGACTATCTGTACCAGGTTTTATTTTCTGAGAACTTACAGTATTCTTCTGCAGAAAAAACAAGATCATCTATGAACAAGTAAGTGTCCAGAAAACCTGGAGCATTATTTAAAAATGTAAAAAGGACTTGGAAGGAAAAATATTCCAAAGTCTAATGAGAACTGAGCATGCTTAATAGGCATAATCTGGAGAGGGGATGAGAACCAATGGCAGAGAATTGATTTTTTGCAAGATGGCTGGGCAGCACTTGAACAGAGGCCCTCTAACAGAGCAGGAAAGTAGCGTATGAATCCAACAATAAACAGCTGCATTTATTGTAGATTCTATTTGTTTATAATGGCTATCATTCCAATGTATAAAGTTTCTTCTTTTAAATTGGAAATGCAACAACTTCTAATTTAATTGAAATGAAATTTGATTTATAAGATGGATTAAACGCTTTCTTTAGCAAAGCCTACCCATCCACATGAACCTTGGGTTTATAATACAGACAAGCACATAAACTGAATAGATTTTTAAGACCTGAGTCTTTCATTAGTTATGTGGATGCTAAGACAATCTCAGAAATTACGTTCCAACAGAAGAGGTTGATCAATAGGTCATCTTTCACTTTTGCATGTCAGTTTTCGCTGACTGCAATACAGTATATCATGGGGTCACTGCATGTTATGGGATCATGGGCATCCGAAGCAGGGCAGGTGGGAGGGGAAAAAACAACACACGGATAATGATATCATCACCCAAATATTGTGCACAATACACTTGCATTCCATGCCGTGCTTGGGAGTTGCCCAGAGTTGGTTGTGGGTGGCTATATAAACGTAATAAACAAACAAACAAACTAATGAATTAATTAATAGTATGCAAGTACAGTTTTTGCATGATATTGTCCCAATCTATTATGCATGTCACCGGGAGGGACTTTTACCCAAAGCAAATGGTATTGCAGCACATACAGGTAGTCCTTGATTTATGACCACGACTGAACCCAAAATTTTTGTTGTTAAATGAAATATTTCATTAAGTGAGTTTTACCCTATTTTACGACTTTTCTTGCCACAGTTGTTAAGTGAAACTGCAGCTGTTAAGTTTAGTCACATAGTTGTTAAGTGAATCTGGCTTCCCCATTGACTTTGCTCACCAGAGGGCTACAAAAGGGGATTGCATGATCCCGGGATGCTGCAACCATCATAAACATGAGTCAGTTGCCAAGGGTCTGAATTCTGATCACGTAACCATGGGGATGCTGCAACAGTTGTAAGTGTGAAAAACAGAAGTCACTTTTTTCAGGGCTGTTGTAACTTTGAACGGTCATTAAATGAATTGTTGTAAGTTGAGGTCTACCTATATCCAACAAGATTCAAGTAAATCCCAAGAACCAAGAGTTAGAGACAACAAGCTGAGAGCTAAAGGGTTCTTCTAGCCCAGGGATAGGCAACCTTGGCTCTTTTATGCTTCATGGACTTCAACTCCCAGAATTCCTGAGTCAGTGTAGTCCATGAGGCATAAAAGAGCCAAGGTTGCCTACCCCTGTTCTAGCCCAAGTATCCTGATCTGGTTAAGTGGTGCCTTTGCTTCAGAAAATATTTGTGAGGATCTTATTCCATGAATCAAAGGTTTCCAAGTGCCTACCTCCAAGTATCATGCCAGCTTGACAGCACTTTCTCAAGCGACACGCAGGGCAGTTTTTCCGACGAATCTTATCCACTATGCAGTCATTCCTCCCTGCACATAGATAATTATGTTGACCTGCATGAAAGAAAGAAAAAAAAAGATGCAATGCAATGAAGTTATCTGAAGCACAGCTTTAAGAGATGCTCAGAACTGTAGTATCATCCACCCAAGAGGAACAACTTCCAAACCCCATCCATTTGAAGAGGAAATAAGCCACATACATGCATACTTTGCTCTCCCACCAAATCAATGAGACGCAAAGAAAGCTAATGCAAACTTACTCAGGACATGACTTGTACTACAGAAAAGATGCCATAATGGCTGTAATATAGAAAAGGTAAAGGCAAAAGGTCCCTGCAGGTTTTACTCCGCTAATTGTAGCCCACTTTAAGGGGGCGGGTGCTCATCTCCATTTCTTAAGCCATTGAGCAGGCGCGGTCTGAAAATGATTCTGTGATCGTGGGGCCAGCATGACATCACATTGCAGCACAGAGCATACAGTGAAATATGGAACATTGTTACCTTCTGATTGAAGTGGTACCTATTTATCTACTCGCGTTTTTACATGCTTTTTCATTACTAGGTTGGGCAAGTTACGGGAGCTCACCCCATCATATGGTGCTAGGACTCGAATCACCAAAGCCTAACCTTCTCCTGCATATATTAAGCTACTAAGTCACCATGCCTCCTTGGCTGTAATATATACAGAGGAGTAAATCCCATTGACCCATCTCTGCTGGCCTTTAGAAAGGCACTAAAAATGTAGTTCTTTCCTTGGATATTGGGACCACATTGGCTGGAGTTTGTACTTGGATGGATGCACTATAAATTTGGATTTCTAACTGTTTATTAAATTTAGCAGTTGTTTTTAACACTGCTGTTTATGTGTGGGCTGACTTTAAGCTGCCCCAAGTGACAATTGCTCCAGATGGACAAAGAAAAGACAAATGGCAGTAATCTAGTTCTGCTTGCTTTGCATCAAAACAGCCAGCATGAAATGAAAATAGAAAAGAGTGACGTTAAGCAACGTTGCTTCCCAAACCCCTCAAAAGTTCACCACTTCTTATACACTATAGTGTTTCAGTCAAAGTACCATCCCCTAATTCAACCAAGATTCCAAACAGAATAAAAGGACACCAGAGCTAATTAGGACAGAAGCAGAAATATTTTAATTATATTTTACTGGAATATTATTCTGCACACCAGATTGTAATTAAGAGAAAAGCAATAATGCCCATTTTAAAATACAGCCTGAAATCAATGTAACTCAATTTCATTTTCATCCTTGTAAAACCTTCTGCAGATACAAAAGATGAACAGCCTATAAAATGACCTCCAGCCAGAATGATTGACCGTAATGACTTCAAAAATTGCAGAGTGTATTTATTCCGGCAAAATAACAAGTATTAAGATCACTTCTTATTTAATCTCTCTTTGACTAATACCACTCTACAATGCCTTGAGTAAGGCCACACTTGGAATACTGCATCCAGTTTTGGTCACTACGCTGTAAAAAAGATGTTGAGACTCTAGAAAGAGGACAGAGAAGAGCAACAAAGATGATTAGGGGACTGGAGGTTAAAACATATAAGGAAAGGTTGCTGAAATTGGGTATGTCTAGTTTAATAAAGAGAAGGATGAGGGGGGACATGATAGCAGTGTTCCAATATCTCAGGGGCTGCTACAAAGAAGAGAGAGTCAAGCTATTTTCCAAAGCGCCTGAAGGCAGGACAAGAAGCAATGGATGAAACTAACCAAAGAGAGAAGCAAACTAGAACTAAGGAGAAACTTCCTGACAGTTAGAACAATTAACCAGTGGAACAACCTGCCTCCAGAAGCGGTAAATGCTCCAACACTGGAAGTTTTTAAGCCATTTGTCCGAAATGGTATAGGGTTTCCTGCCTGAGCAGGGGGTTGGACTTGATGACCTCCAAGGTCCCTTCCAACTTTTTTATTATTATTATTATTATTATTATTATTATGGATCATCGCACAGTCAGCCAGATGTTCAGACTGGATTTGGCATTTTGTCTACCTATCGAGTCCTTACCCAGGACCTGGGATAGGTCGATGTGGATGTTTGATGGTATTACAGATATCGTCGCAGGATGGAAGCAGTTCCTAATAAGGCCGCCTTTTGCAATTGACTAATAGCGAATTTGTCAATGCCAATGGTGTTCAAGTGGTGCTCCAGTTGTTTTGGGATTGCACCCAATGAGCCTATTACTATTGGTACTACCCTTGCTTGTTTTTGCCACAGTCTTTCTATTTCTATTTGTAGGTCTTTGTATTTTGTTATCTTCTCCAGTTCTTTCTCTTCTATTCTGCTGTCTCCAGGCACTGCCACGGCCACTATCCAGACTTTTTTGTCTTTCTTATCGACAATTGTTAAGTCTGGGGTGTTATGTTGCAGGTGATTGTCTGTTTGAATTCTGAAGTCCCAGAGCAGTTTAATTTTATCATTTTCTATTACTTTCTCTATTTTATGATCCCACCAGTTTTTGCTTACAGGCAAAGGATATTTTTTGCAGATCTTCCAATGCACCATTGTTGCTACTTTGTCATGCCGCTGCTTGTAATCAGTTTGTGCAATCTTCTTGCAACAGCTTACCAAGTGGTCCACTGTTTCTTCAGCTTCTTTGCATAGGCGGCACTTACTGTCTTTTGCTGTCTTCTCAATTTTGACTTTGTATGCATTTGTCCTTAAGGCTTGGTCTTATGCAGCCAGAATTAGTCCCTCGGTCTCTTTCTTCAATTTTCCTGCTTTTAGCCATTGCCAGGTTTTATTATTATCTGCTTTCCCAGCTATTTTTTTCATGTATTGGCCATGTAGTGCTTTGTCTTCCATGCCTCTATTCTGTTCTTCATTTGGTCTTTCTTGTAGGCCAGTTTGGTCTCTCCAGTAGTTAGTAAGCCTTCCTGATATACTAATTTCAGTGCATCTTCATCATTGTTCTTCATATATTCTTCCAAAGCCATTTTTTCTTCTTCAACCATCTGATGTACTTGTAGCATTCCACGCCCACCTATTTGCCTTGGTAGATAAAGTCTATCAATGTCACTGCGTGAATGAAGGGCATGATTCATTGTCATTATTTTTCTGGTCTGCCTATCCATTGCTTTAGTTCTGCTTGAGTCCAGTCCACTATTCCAGCTGTGTACCTAATGACTGGGATTGCCCAGGTGTTGATTGCCTTTATGGTATTTCCTCCATTGAGTTTGGACTTTAAGATCTTCACTCTCTTGATGTATTCACCTCTAATCTTTTTCTTGATTTCAGTGTGCTTGATGTTGTCAGCTTGAAGGATACCCAAGTATTTGTAGTACTCTTCCTCATCCAGATTCTTAATGTTATTTTCGTGGGGCATCTTGATTCCTTCAGTTTTCACTACTTTTCCGTGTTTGATAGTAAGTGTAGCACATTTGTCCAAGCCAAACTCCATTACAATATCTTGGCTATATATACGGACAGTGTTGAGCAGCGATTCTATTTCAGATGATGTTTTTCCATACAGCTTCAGATCAGCCATGTAAAGGAGGTGGGATAGTCTAGCAGATGTTTTTGATGTTTGATAGCCATGTCCTGAGTTATTCAGTATTGTTGACAGAGGAAACAGTGCAATAACAAATAGTAATGGTGATAATGAATCTCCTTGAAATATTCCTCTCTTGATATTAACCTCTCCCAGCCTCTCACCATTGATCTGCAACTTTGTCTTCCATTGTGCCATCGATCTTTGCACAAATTTTCTGATGTTTCTACTGACTCCTGTTATTTCTAGGCACTTTATTATCCAATCATGTGGCAGAGAGTCAAATGCCTTTTTGTAGTCAATCCATGCCACATTCAGGTTGGTCTTCCTTCTCTTGCAGTTTTCCAAGATCATTTTGTCTATTAGGAGTTGATCTTTTGTCCTTTTGCTATTGGGGCGGTTTCCTTTTTGCTCAGGTGTAAAGAGATTGTTTTCAACTAGATGCTGTTGTACTGCATCAGCTACCACACCAGTTAGTAATTTGAAAGTTGTTGGTAAGCAGGTAATTGGCCTGTAGTTACCTGGTGTTGCCCCTTTTGCTGGATTTTTCATTATTAGGTAGTTTTTCCCAGTTGTTAGCCACTTTTCAATTTCTCCTCCTTGTAGTATATTGTTGAACTGTTTGGCAATGAGTGGGTGTATAACAGTTAGATGTTTCAACCAAAACCCATGCAGTTCATCTTCACCTGGTGCTGACCAATTTTTTATTTTCTTTGCTCTTTTTTCTACCATTTTTGTTGTTATTACTAGTTCTTTCATTTCAACTTCTGTTTTATTTGTATCCACCTCTTTTAACCAAGCTGCATCCTTGTTGTATTTCTTTGGGTTATCCCATATCTGCTTCCAGAATTGCACTGTTTCTTCCTTGTCAGGTACTTATTATTATTATTATTATTATTATTATTATTATTATTATTATTATTATTATTATTATTCCTTATTATAGTTAATTAAATGTATCTTGGAAATAATTTCATTGAGCTTCAAGTTTTACAGAATAACAGGGTTGGAAGGGACTTTGGAGGTCTTCTAGTCCAACCCCTTGCTCAAGCAGGAGACCAGGCAGAAATAAAGCCTACCTTCCTAATGCCACAATCATAACCTCTGTCATCTCTAGATGGTTAGAGGTGTAGACTACCAGTTTGAAAAAAGACAACAATAACAAATACTATGATTAATGAGGCTCCCTCTCAAAGTAACCTGAGTTCTCTGGTCATTATAATATTTCAAAAACACCACCAGTCAGTTCTGGAAGGGCTGTTTATAGTCAACATGTGAAACTTCATATTACTTTGACCTTTGTCATGAATTAAACTCAACCAGTTTCAACAGCCTATGATACACAAAAGAATGAATTGCTAGTAGCACTATTCATCCAGGCTTGTTTATAAATAACTTCTAGCAGATTATTTACATCTATGTTCATTGGAAGCTTTCCTAATTAAGCAAGTGAAAAACAAGCATGCATTCTGCATCTCACTTCCTTCACCCACCCAAATCAAGCAACAGCCTATCTCACAATATGTTGCTCTATATGTGTTG